TATCAGAGTCCTTGATGATGGAGAAAACCACAAGGTTTATGTGAATGGAGAACTTAAGGTCACAAACAAGATGACTGATCGGCCAGAAGGTGAGGACAACAGAGCCCGCTGGGGTCTGTACAGTCCAAAAAGCGCAATGGATCGAGACATTCTGATGTTTGTGACGGGAGCCTATGTAGGGCCAGCGCTTGAAGAAAGTGATGACTGGACGGATCCAGAGACAGACTCCCCCAAGAATATTTGGGGCTTCTGGGGTGGGTTCTTCGACTGGTTAGTTCCTGACAAAGTCAAGGCCTGGTTTTCCAATAGACCCGGATTTGACAGCTATAAGGAGGGAAGCGCTGATTTGTTGGCCTTGATTGAAAAGCTCGACGCCGAACCAGACCCGTCGTTCTACGACAAATATTACAGCAACCCCGACAATGAAGGATACGGATATCTTTAGAGAGTAGCAAGGAGTTCCCCTGTGCGAACGATACCACAGGATTTAGATTAGAGTTTTTTATAAGATCAAATAATGACATTTTCTACAGGTCATACATTTGAAGCATCAAACAAACCGGAATTCGATCGAATGCCATCTTTCACAGTCTCGCATGCTGTCTCATGTACCGGTACATTGTACCTCGCACCTGAGCGCACCTGAGAAGGATGAGTGGTTAATAGCGTCCGCGGACGGCTGCTTTCAGCAATCACTTTCTGCACCATTGCCGCACCATCGACAAGACTTAGCTCCGTCAAAAGCACCATCCTGTGCAAAGCCAACTAGCTTGATTTCTTCTTCAGTTTCGCCACGAGCTCATTGTTGACCTTTTGCCACCTGTCAATTGTAGAGTTGGATTCTTCAAGCTGTTGCCGTAATCGCTGGAGCTCTTCGTCTTTGCCCTTTTCAGCAGCCAATAATTGTTCTCGTAGACGTTGCAATTCTCCTTCTTGATCTTTGTTGTTGCCTGTCGTGTCCATGGCGTCACCATCATCATCACCCCTCTCAATGGACGGTTGTTTGTCGGATGTCATTTTCTTGTTGGAGCTTGTGTCGATTCTCTCGGATGCCCGTTTTCGCCATGGATTCACGAAGCGTTCTGCCTTTTCCAAGGCAATATCAGCCCTAGCCTGTTTATTCTTGGTACTAGGTTGTGTCATGTTGCTTTGCCAGAGCATAACGGGAGTCCATTTCACCTGCCCTGAATCTGGTGGAGGCGTGGGATACTTTTGCAAGGGCGGCAGCAGTTCGGGAAGTGCCGTTGATCTGGACTTGGCTCCTCGATGCCTTTTCGTTGCAAACATGCCTTGATCATTACTACTTTGGCCAGCATTGGACTCTTCATCGGGCAACTCAATGACGGTCACACTGGCAATGGAATGCTGTTGGCCCGCTTTCTTCTTGTCACTCACGGAAGTGTTGCTATTGGTGGCATTCCACGGCTGCACAATGCGAACACAGACTCTGGAATCGACATCCCATATCCGCAAGGTGCCCATGGCATCCCCACTGGCGACATACTCGGTATGAGTGGCTTGGTCGCGCCAAGCAGCCATGGCAGTCACTGCCTCTGAATGTCCGGTCAGGGTTGTTTGATAGGATAATTGTTGCTGATGTTGACTTGCAGCGGGTGTACTATCGGATGCACTACTCACACGAGCTCCCAACTGTATCGTCTGATGCAGACTGTACTGATCCATATCCAAACAGAAAATGGTCCCCAGCTGTCCCCCGGCATAGATTCGTTGATGTCGTATCGTCAAGCTGGACACGCCTTGTGGCAATTGTATTTGTGCCAAGACTTGTTCGGAAAATGTTTCCAACACCAAAATCATTCCATCTTGCGATGCCGACACCACTCTACTCTCCGAGAGTGCCGCGACGGCGGTAATGGGTACAGCGTGTTGTGCCCAGGTTCGAATGGGCAAGACTTGCTGGGAGGAGGACTGTACCATATCACGCAGAGCCCATAAGTGTACCATTCCATCCTGTCCTCCCGTCACTAGGAATCTCCCATTATCGCCCACAAAACACATGGCACTAATGGCGCGGTAATGTGCTCTACGGACGGTTTGTATCAATTCTCCGGATAGCGTATACCATATATAGAGACACCCCGAGTTTCCTCCGGCAATGGCATAGTGGCCACAGGGAGATAGTCGTAGTATTGTCGACAGAGTGGCTTCTGGCAGTCTTGCCTTCCAGTGTACCTTGGGATGCGACGGATGCAAGGAAACCAACATGGCCATACAGTCCTTGTTGTTTTTTGCGGCATATGCCATGGCCAACGGTGCGTTGGAGAATTTGAGCAACGGAAAGGGGGAAATCGAGCAGACACCCAGTTGTTGTTGCTGTTGAGACGCTGCCGTGGTGGATGCCAAATCTCCGGAAATGGTGAGCGACGACGCCACCGATCCTACTTGTGGATCTACCATGGCCACTGCTCCTGCCGTCATGGCATTGGTGGACGGCTTGGTAGTCGTCACGGAGAGCAGCGTTCGTTTGGGTCGATTGCACGCATGATTTGCATCTCGTAAGTGGGCTGGAACGTCCGGCACCAGGATGGTTTCCGGATCCATTTTTTCTTCGATGCTTGGAGATCGATGGACTGAGTGGATGTGCTGAGTGGTTCCTTTCAACAACTAAATAGAGAGAACAGGAGCTGGATCTCTCAACACCTATTGTTGACAAGGTAAAGGAGGTATGACTTGACTGATGCTAGCTAGCACTGGATAGACTCGAGTCTTCTCCTTTCCGACACTGGACGCCCTTCTTGCAATTGTCCAAGCAGATCGAGTGTTTTCCTCCTTTTGTCTTCTGGTTTTCGAGGGCTCATTTTTCCTTCCACTGGTTGTCAATCAGTCACGAATCCTGTGATCACGAGTTGAGTCAGGAGTGGAGCACGTTCGGAGTGCAGTGTCGGAAGGCTGTCTGATAGGCTAGAAACTAGTTGAGCATGGTATAACACTTGTTGGCGTTCAAGCTCCAAGGATGTGATCATTTATTTCTATTGCAAGTTGATTTTCTGTTGACTCGACTCTAACTAGCTAGAGATGCTGATCCAGTTACCGCTATCAGGGAGAGGAAGTTCTAGCTAGATTTGTGACAGGGTGATGCCATGCATGCTGTTTGCTGTCTGCTCAGAGGTGCGATGAGAGTACCTGGTACCCAATTTTGCATCCAGGTAGATGTTGGCCCCGGCGATATGATGTTGGCCCCGGTGATATGATGTTGGACTGCGGTACCGTAGTAGCTAGCCGGTTGCCTGTTCCCAATGTTTGTCTTTCAAAGCGCTTTGGTCAAGATCAAAAAATGTGCCTGCTGCAGTATTCTCTGGATCTGACACCTCCAATTCACCCAATCAATACGGTAGGCGCCAAGCGATGAATGCGGTTGACTATTGAAGTGGATTATGGTTCACCACGTATTGGTTGGTTGTCCTGAGTATTGATAACCGCTTTGCTCCTGGTCGTGAGAGCTTGTTATGAGGTCTGGGCTGCATAGAGAATGTACGACCCAGTCCCACCAAGGCCTTGGCGTCAACAGCCAACTTTAAAACTAGCAAGCAGCACAGCACCAGGCAACAAAAGACAGCATCCGGCCAGTGGAGTGTGACAACGACAGCAGCAACAACTTATAGCTGGCTAGTGAGCAGGAAGACAAGAGTGAGAGAGATAGTAAGCGCGAGAGAATTCCGCATTGTGTTGTGTGTGCTATTATATTGTATGGGAACTGTATGTATTGACCTTCAATAATACAGGGAATTATTAGAAAGAAGAAAGTACAGCCAGGTAGCGGTACAATGGAAGACCAATCAAACACGGACTTGATCTTGCAGCAACAATTGGAGGAACAGCAGCAGCAGCAACAACAACAACAACAACAATTGCAACGACAAGCGATTCATCCAGCTCCATCTCCCGTTCCGTATCCATATTATCCCTCCTCAACTCATAATCAAAGCGATCGGCTGCGACGACGAAACACGGGGACATCGTACCCGTTGTTCCACACGAACAACAGCCATACTACCAATAGTGAAGAAGCCTCTCAGGGGAGTTTGAACGAGAGTCAAGCGAGTTTCTTTTCGGGATTGGATGGATTGGAAATGCCATCGACTAGTTTGCATGCTAATCATGCTCATCATCATCAGCCTCCTCATCATAATAACAATAATATGATGTTGCCAGATGGGAATCAGTTGCTGCCCAACAGTTACAAAGCCACGCGACATCACAGCAACAGTCCGACCAACCATTACAGCAACAACAGTCCCACCAATCACTACTATCATCATCCCCCTGTGTCGATGCAACAACAACAACAGCAGCAACAACAACAGCAACGACTGAACAAGAGCCTCAACAACATTTCGCACTCTCCTCCTCGTCATCCTCGTCAAGAACCTCCTCGTCAACCGTCTTATCAACGCACCGCCACATTGCCAGCCCCACGATCTTCCAACAACAGCAACAGTCGCAGCTACGCTGGAGACGATGCGCACACCAATAGTAATACAAATTCACGACGACGACCGTTTTCGCGAGATCTCACGCCGCAGCATCAAATTGATCGACGCAATTCCCGACGACGCGTCACAAGCACCAGTTCGGCATCGTCGTCGGCCGCCAAGAAAAAGGCATCCGTTCCCAATCGATATTACATTCCGGGAAACAAATCCGTACAAACCGAATGGTCTTCACCGACGCGACAACGACGCAGTCGCAACACACTGCCCAACACTAGCAGTGTCAGCAACAACAATAGCATGAGCAGTAACGACAGTGATTCCAGAGGAGGTGTCTTGCCCGAAGAAGATCCCAACGCTATCAACAACAACAACAACAACAACAGCAGCAGCAGTGGCAACCAAAACATTATTGTCTTGCCCTCCATTTCCATTCCCAACGGAAGTTGTCCGGAAGAATACAATACCAACAACAACAACTATCATCGCTCGTCCCAAGCACCCACACTGCCCTTACGACGACCCTGTGTCACCGCCACCAGTATGTGTTTCCGCGGCTCTGGAACAGTTAAATTCTGTGTCTTGATCCAATTTGTCTTTGTCATTCCACTCTGTTTGTACGTTTTTGATGCCCACGCACAACAAAAAAGTGCCAAACAACAATTGCAACAATACAACGAAGAACATGAACACATGCTCAATCAAATGATGTGGATGGATGCCGCTGCTAAAAAAATTACCGCCAATCAGTATCGACGCAAGGGAGATACATTGCATCACAGTCGACCGCAAGCGCAAGCACAACAAGCACAGCAACAACAACAGTTCTATCCCGGCGATGACAATTTTGGGAGTACGGGTGCGGCCGGCCGCGACACTACCACGGAGGATAACACTGCTACCAACTACAAGAATTACCGGGATAGTTACTACGGAGCGGACACATCGGCCACGGAAGATTTGCGTGACAGTGTGCACAAACTACGAGGACAAATGAGAGACATTCAATATCGCATTCAACAAAACTCGATTGTAAGAATCAACGAAAAGTACGGAGAAGGACCCATTCAAGTCTACATTCATCCCGAACCACAACAAGACGAATACTACAATAACAACAACGGTAATGGTGAACAACAAGACGAAATGACGTCGGAGATTGCCATTGAATTGTTTATTGAAGACACACCCCATGCCGTTTCCACATTTCTATACCAGATTGAACGAGGACATTGGAATCGCGTACAAATGAACTGGATCAGTGAAACATCCATCTTGAGCAAACCCGGCTCAGCCGTCACGTCGGGAATGGGAGATTGGATGCAAACGTCCCGGCTCGAGTTTCTAGAACAGTTCCCCATTCGTCACTGTGAAGTCGCCCTCGTGCAACGAGGACAAATGGGAGTCCTCAGTTTGAAAATCAATCTCGTCGAAGTGCCCTTTCAAGAACACGAAGAAGTCTGTATCGGACGATTGTTGAACGATCGATTGATTCTGCCAAAATCCAGAGAATATTTCATGGCCGAATTCACCACGACCAGTAACAGTGGAAGTGGCAACAAGAAGCAGCACACGCCGCCGAAAGATGAAGACTCGGACAATCATCCCGAAATGCGATTGTTGAAGGATCCACTGGTTCTTCTGACGACCAACGCCAAGTCCAACGAACTTTCGACGACGACGGCGACCACAAGTGAACAGGAAGAAACTGCTCCAGCCGAACGAGACGAAGAAGAAGAACAAGACAACGAAGAAGAAGAGCCAGCTACTAGTAGTACGGAGGATCCTTCTCGAGAACAAGAGCTCGACATTGAAGAGGTCTTCGATCCGGGGCAGGACATAACGGACGATGATCGTCCACGAGAACAAGAGCTCGACAACGAAGAATTCGAAGAGCCGGGGCAGGAGCCGCTGCAGTTGGCATAGTCAAGCGACGTGACTGCGTGGCGTCCGAAAGCAAAGGGTTTGCTGCGCCACGCCAAAGCTGGGTCTCCTCGAGCTAGCTAGCTTGTACTGGGTATATCATCTACTAGGATTTATAGAGTCAACAATTACAAAACGCTTTCATCGTTTGGCCAGAAATGAAGTGGCTGTCGTGGACGGACGGATATACTGCATCTTCACTGGCGGTCTTTGACTGCTGACCGCTCGTACCGTACTCAGGTCATCACCCAAAACCAGAAACTGAAGCATTCGAACAAAGCCACCAGCCTTGGGCGTGTTGGTGATCTCCACGTGAGGCTTTCGTGTCGGACTGTGGTGAGAAAGCATTGGGAGGGAACAGCATCAATGATCAAGCAGGGAGATTCCAAGACCCTGCTAGTCCTCGACTACCTAGAACACTCGGGCCTGCACGCTGATGCGGGTTGACGATGCGTTGCCGATACGGAAATTTGGAAACAAAGTACTGAGTGACAGTCAAGTCAAGTCCCTGCTGGCTCGAAGAACGCATCATTGGCACCGACGAACGGGAGTGTAGCTGCTCCGCGCAACTACTCGGATGCACAAGAGACTTGGTGTTCAATGAGCTCTAAAGCAGTGGCTGCTTCTGTCACACTTGGGTGTCTCGCAGCCAGGTTCAGTTTTTCTGCCAAAGGTCGTTTGCAAATGTGTTTGCAAAGGTCACCCGAAACTGCCGGAAGCCAGAAACAAAACCGGTAGGTGCTGGGGACTACACTAGGCGGCCAATCTTGAGATCGGTTCAACAGTTTCAATCATCAGCACAGCACAAGGTTGCCAATGAACGGAATACGAAGAGCCGTGCCCGGAGACGATATAATTCAACCGTTCCCCACGAGGGCTCTAGCTAGCTAGGTGGATCCATTGGACCCAGCTGCTGCTTTGCTGGATGGGAACCAAAACCGCAGCCAACACTGCCAATCTTCAAACCTAAACCCCCATGAGAACACAAATGTATTCCCATACAAAGCCAGCTAGACCAGCGAGAGCCCAGAGGCGCATGCCTCTGATCATACTTCGCATTGGACCAGTCTACTTGGTCGTAACCCGTAATCGATCGAAGCAATTCGAATGTTGGGTTGCCTTCGAGCCATCAAAGCCCCACCAGCTGAAACCAGCCAAGCAAAGCAACCTTTTGGCATATGGATAGCCCTCCTCCCCAGAACGGAGGTATGTAGCCAGCCAGTACTGGTAGTATGGTTCACCTAACTCGGGCAGCGCTACAAACCCGACCCAGTCTAGGCTCTCTCGCAATTTCTGCTTTTATGGACTTTACTTTGGGCTGCTAGTAGCTCGGTAGTATTGGTCGGCTTGGGTTGCTAGAAGGACACAGGTGACCCACAACAAGAACAGTTCCAAGGCAGCCCTGGCACCCCAAATGTGTTTCTGACTGTCTCGCACATCACTTGGCTGGGCAATAGAACGACGAGCAATTGTGGTCGCTGCTGTAGATGATCACCATCCAGCAAGGGCCACTACAGTGGACTTGCGTGCGAATACGATTTTGTGAACTTTGTAGACTACCGGTACTGGTTCCTACCAGTACGACTGTACTATCATAGCTGGGCCTCCGGTACCATAGGTGGCGGTAGGTAGCGTGCCCGTACCGGTACAGTGGTATCGGGTCTCTGGCTCAGTAATGCTTTCTAGGCGTAAAAAAGACCTTCAACCACGGCGCCACGTCAGTTGACAAAGAACTCTGAGGTGCTCCCGGCTTTAAGTCACCAGAGGCAAACTAACTCTTCTCTTCTGTTTCTAGGCTTCCTTCACCATTCTAAGGCAATTGCAGGGTCATTAAGAAGGGCAGTACTGCAGTGCAGTATGTTTTCGCGCAATGGGAACAATCGTTTATGTCATCTTGTGACCCTTTCGAATGCCTCCCTCTCTCCGCCTCCCTTCGCAGCTCTCACAAAACCAAAAGATCCTCTTGGCCAAGCAAACTCAATCCAAATTCAAACCAACCACAATGATCCAAACAACCAAGAAGAACGTTCAGTTCGCAGCTGACGAAGAACTTGAAACAGTTCATTTGGTGAGCAGCCATGGCGAGCCCGGAAAGCTGTTTCTTTCCCCTCTTGAATTTGATTCCTTCAAACAATCGTCCATGACCGAGGGATGCCAAGCTAGAAAACAGGGTATAGACAAGGAACTTGAGTGCACCTTCACAAATCCAGGTCAGGACGTCCAAAAGAAACTCCACCATTACACGCGTCATTCTGGTTACCGTGGATTGGAACGATGGATTTGCAAAGCCCACTATGAAGAACGCAAGCAGCACAGAGAGCAGGCTATCCAGGCTATCCTGATTGGACAGAAGATGGCAAAAGGACAAGGCATGAACGCCGATGAAGTGAGCCTGCAATTGCGAAAGGTCGCCCTTGTATATTGTCTTGATGCCAAAGTCTTCGCCAGAAGACTGGGCAAGGCAGACGAAGCCGCTTGTTCTTCCAAGAAGATTGGTAACTCCCACTACCAGGAACGCACGAACAGGATGAAGCTGAAGGGCCGCTTCTCTGAACACAAGAAGCATTGCGATTGTTCTAGCGATCACGCAATGCTGGCCTTTGACTCTCAGCCAAGATTGGCTCTCCTCAATCACTCCACCAGTGCACATATTGTTTCCACTACCAGAGGACCCCTGACACAGTTGCTCTAAACCAAGATTCTCCGCACCTCCACAGCCATGTAAGTTTGCACTTTGGCTCTCCCATTAGAACAACGTCTTGATCAGGGCTGCACACTATCTATTGTACAAATCAAGGCAGCCCACACCCAAGCCACCCAGAATGCATGTATAAAAACGATCTACATTACAAAAGTCGTTCATAACTCGACACCGGTATAAGTGACTTCATAGACAACCGTTACCTTGTCATATCATTACTTCTTGTGCCAAAAGCAGCAGGTTGTTAGCTTGAACCAGAAGAGGCGTTTCCGTGGCAGTTGGTGGGAGACCGGTGACATGCAAAGAACAAACGTCCAAAGCAAAAGCTGTGTGCAGACTGCCCTTCTCTATCTACCTGGTACTACCGGCGAATTAGCAGCGGCGGCTTCCTCTTTTTCAGCAGGTCTCCTGGAAGACAGCAATCCGTAGAAGAGTAGTTGAGGTAACTTTCAGAATAAAATAAAAATATCCTTTTTGCCTCATCCACCTCTGGCTGGCTAGTAGTAGCTTCCAAAGCTCCTGTCTTCAATACCACTCTCTCTCTTTCCACTGTTCCACACTGCAGAGCCACTCCTGTGTGCGTCTTGCGGCTAGTTAATCCTATGAATCTCCGCCAATGAGACTCAGTGGTAGGAACACAAGAGCTGGGAGTGCAGACCTCTGCTGGATGGATATCTCCATCCACTCCTGGCACTGGGAATGGAGCCAGCTTTGGAGCTGGCTGCTATTCAATCTCTTGGTGAGTAATGGTTGAGCTATCAATGCTTACCCAAGCACTGGCCACACAGGATCCGATCAACTGCAAGGCTCTAGGTGCAGGGTCTTCTCTGGTCAAATTTCTTTCATTACTGTAACTTTGCTGAACACAAGCACAAACACAAGGTACCGGTAGCTGACAGCCCAAAGTCTGTTGAGGGCAGAGTGCTATTGTCATCGACAAAACGAGTGAACCGTCTGCGTTGGGCCAATGCGAACCGTCCCATGGCCACCTGTTACGGGAAATGGAGGAGGATATGCAGCGGTAGAAAGCAAAAAGAAAAAGGTGATAGCCATAGGAACGCAACCGAAGCAATCACAAGGGTGCTCCAGGCTGGTAAAGAGGGCAAATTCTATAGCCAAAAGGCCAAAAGAGCTAGACTGAAGGACGATTCTAACCAGGCATGTCCAGTTCTAACTAAGTACTCTACCAGGAGTTCACTTTCAATTTACCTTCGTTCTTGACCATCCTTAGTGTTGCAGGGCAGTTTCAAACTTGGGGTCTGCCTGCTACCACCCGAACCACTGTACATCTACCCCGAATCTAGACCTGCTGGTACCGTTTTGCTAGCTGGAACTTCTGGCAAGGTTTATTGCATTGCCAGTGCTTGCCTCGTACAGTACCGACCTCGCCGCTTCTTGTTCGCTCCTCGGATACCGGTAGGGCGCACCCCATCAGCAACAACTCCATTGGAGCAAATCCAGTCTGGGCAAACATGCTCAGGCGCCAATACAATCAATTCAATTCACACATACAAAGTAGCATACTGGGTCATGCCATCATCGTCCTCTTCATTACTATTGATGTTCTGCAGTTGCTTCTCGCGCGCCTTAGATGCATGGATGCAGAAGGTTGGGGCAGCAGGCTGCCTGGTTGCTGTATAAGTTGAGCAGAAGACCATCGCATTTCCTGCCGCCTACTAGAACTTTTGGCTGGCAGCCAAGCTTCTATCGGCCAGCTGCTTTTTCGATACGGATATCGTTCAACTTTCTAGCTATCGATCCTACTACTAGTGTTCTTAGGATCTCTCCGTATCTTGCGACTAGGTCGGTGCATAGAGTGTCATGATCAGCCTGTGAGATTTCCTCCAGCCAGATGGAAGCAGAATGGCAAATATATTGCTCATCACGGCTTGCATCGCAACAGCTTCTACTCGAGTAGCACTCTGGCACTGTGGGCTTGCTGTGGCTGTCTGTGGCACTGTCGCAATTTAGCACTATGATAGTCTTGAGTCTTGAACTCTGAACTCTGAGTGAATGGAAAAGCAACTAGCACACTAGCACTGTAGAGCTCACTGTAGCACTGTGGCGGGGAAAGTACTTCGGGACAAGAAGGGTTCAAGAACTCGAATGGTGCGAGTTCAAGTGCGTGGTGCTCCCTGGCATTCTTCTTTAAAACTTATTTCGGCAGCAAAGAACGCTAGTCGTACCGAGTCATAGAACTACTCAAAGAAGATTTAGAGACGTTTTCTTTATCTTCGGGGCAGTTCTCAAATTCTAAAACATTTACGAGCATGTATCCCTGAGGTGGCAAAAAAGGCATTGATGTGGCCATTAAGGGTTGGCATGATTAAGTAACTTGTGGGAACGAGAATGTCAAAGAACTCCAGGAAGACTTTTTTGCTGCCACCTCAGTCAGATCGATTGTTAGTCCACCGGTGAGCACAAACGCCATTGAAAGGATCAAAGGATTAGAATGCAGAATGCTTGCTAGCTAGCTAGCTAGAGCCAGAGCTAGCCAGAGCTTGTCGAAGGCTCACAAAATCTCTTCAGCAAACAAAAGCTTCAAAAGACAATTCAAGGAAACAAGCCACTCCATTTCCATTTCAATTTCACCATGACTGCTGCCACCTCCAAGAAGTCTGTCTCCTTTGCCGATGATTCAAAGAACACTCTGCACATCTACGATGCCTTGGCCACTGACATCCTGTGGCAGTGGCCAGCTTTCTTTGAGAAGAGCAGATTAGCGGCTCGTTCCGATGGAAAGCGCTTCAAGCAAGACGGTTTTGCCACTCTGCTTGAAGACTCCTTCTGCAACTCCAGCAACGATATCCAGAAGCGCCTCAACGAATACGCCAAGCTTTGCGAAGGAGGCCGTGGTGTAGAACGATTTGTGTGTCGCTCCATGTACCAAACAAGGAAAGCAGAGCGCGCCAAGGCAATCAAGGCAATCCTTATTGGGCAAGAGCAAGCCAGACAAAAGGGTTTGTCCCCAGAGGTAGCGGCAGAGGAACTTCGTGATGTTTCCTTGATCTTTTGCCTCAATGCCAAGGTATTCGCACGAAGAATAGGCAAGGCTGATGAATCTGCTTGCTATTCCAAGAAGAAGGCTAGTAGCAGCTCTTCCGTGTGCACAGCCACTTCAACAAAACGTGAACTCAGGGCTAACATTGCCCCAGCAAGAGTGGCATAGACCATCCATAATTCTTCACCATCTCTCCTCCTCCCTCCACTATACTATGATGTGTCCATACTTCATACCTGTAAAAAACAAATAGACATTCCTTGCACCATTCTTTGAGCTAATGTCAGTAGACATAGACCTCAGTAGTCCTTACATGCAGCACTAGCCAACCTGGCAACTCGCTCGTCGCCGAGTTCAGAGCAGGAGCTGCTATGTGGTCAGGGCTGAAGGAAGGTTGGATAGCAATCCCTCCCACTACTTAGTTGGTGGGGCCAAGGGAAGGAAGAAACCAGGGACCGAGCCATCGGGCCTACAAACGACGGAAAGCGATATAGATAGTGCTGGCTGCTCACTGGCTGTTGATGTTGCAAACTTGCCTTGCCTCTGGGAACCACGATGAGACTGACTCATAGCTCACACTGGTTGGGGCGTCACTGTACGGGAAGCACAGTCCTGCTTTTGGAGCGAGCTTTGAGAGCACAGTTGCTTCGTGTGAGACAGCTCATCATGGCAAAGAACGGCATCATCACGACTTTGGCAGTATTGGAACAAGAGTGCAGAGTGGCTGCACATGACTTAGTAGATCAACCCCGGCCTGGTGTACTAGCTAGTTGGCGACATCAAGAAATTTCATGCAAAAGAACATTTAGCTAGTGTATCGGTTTTATTCTAATGGCTGGGCTGATGGGCTAGTTCTTGATTGCGTGGATGAGCAAGAGAAGAAGGATGATACCCGCCAGAACCATGGACGGGAGACTCAAGTGAAATGCCATGCGATAGTTCCGCTCTTCTCTGAAAGAAGTCCACATCTTGATGGTCGCGAAGGACAGCATTGCTGGAATAACGGTTAGAGTGAAGTAATAGCTGGGTATCATCTTGCTCTTGCGTGTCAAAATCAAGCTGTTCAATGCAGCGGTGACAAAAAGCACGGTAAGAAGCGTCGACAGGTACATGCAATGTAGCAGCGACTGGTTGGGAGGGCCATGGATCATATCGTCGTTGTTTTCATCCGTTCCTCCTCTAGAGGATTCAATGTCGAGAACCCTTGACTTCTCCACGGCATCGTTGCCCCCGCCCTTTTGCAGGAGTGCTGCCTGTTTGTCATCGTGTGGCTCTTCTGTCATTCTGTATGGGTTCTGTTTGCTCAATTAATTGTGTTGGGTATCTAGAATAGAAATAATGGGTTGACAGGATAAGATTGGGAACTCGGAAACATGGAGCAGCGTTGGTTCCTTGTTCCTATGGTGCACTTCTTCGCGCACCTTACGTGTGGACTTTTTTGCTGGTGAAGGGGCCTACTAGGGTGTCTAGCCCGTTTCATGAGGTGCGACTTCAATAACGCGCACGCTTGATGAGGAGGCTCGTGAGCTTCATTACGCGAATACATTGGAGTTTCCCTCCACCATACCGGTACGGGTATGCATGTCTCGAAGCGACTGCTGAACCGTACGGTATTGTGATGGAGACCAGTGCCAGGCAAGTAGTACATCGAAATATCTCAGTGCTCCAAACGATTCCTTCTTCTGGCTTGATACCACCAACTCACTTTACATTGCGATAAGTCGTTCGTGAAACTAAATGTACTATTGTTCTCTGCCTTCTTCCCCTCAGGTGAGCAAGAGCATCAGGCTACCAGTCTTGATTGAATTCAATCCTTCGATATCGTGCACTTTCTTGTCCACAAGCGGGCAGTGGCGTTCGTCCTGCCACAGCAAATATTCCTCAGACCATTCGCCCAGGCGCTCATTTTTTGTTTGTCGCAAACCAGAGCACTCACATCCCGGTGCTACCTCTAACGGTAGCTACCCACGAAGCTATCTGAGATTTTTGCAGGGACCAATGCCCCAGCTAGATAGCGTTTCTGGTTGACATTTCAGACCACAAAAAGTCTGAGGACAAACGGATCACTGCCACATCTCGGCGCTTGGCGTGTTGATGATGCTGTGGAGCACGAATGCATCCAAAAACTTGTGGCCTTGACTCGTCGACTCTTTCCTTGTTCTTGCTTGCACAAGAAAGGTTTCCTCATCCATTCATCCTATTGTCTTGCAGTTTTCGGGTTTGACACTGACTATTAATGTTCCCTCACCAGCTCCTTCCAACAGCACAGCAACACGACCTTCCGCCATGCCATTCGATGGCTCCACTACCATTCCTCGAAACCCATTCTTTTCGCTGCTTGCCGACAGATTCTGCAATTCGACCAACGTGCCAACGGGAATAGCACTACTAGAAGTGCGATCATTTGTGTTGTTGTGTGCCACGATCGCCTCCATGTTTTCATGTGACAACATGCTACCCGTTTCGTGATAATTGTCGTATCCATCCTTTTGTTCCAGAAACTGAACTAGAACTCCACGCTTTCTGCCACAGTCTTGCAGGACAAGGGCTCTTGTTCCATTGAGATTGGAGTCTTTCATGTTTTTCAGCAACACTTCCTGGCCCATTGTAAAAATGCCCGAATTCTCTTCTTCGCCGTCGGCATCGTCCGAGTACGAAGAAGAGCGAGACGTCATCGACTGCGTGAGTTTCGACAACGACCGTCGCATGACCGCTGGGATGAGTGGTCGTTTCGAATCACCATTGGTAGAAAGAGGAGCGACGATAAAGTCACCATCTAGTGTTGGGTTCTTTCGGGTTTCGATCTTCTTCTTGGCAGCGATACCGCCTTTCACGGCCATACATCCTGCCGACAACAAAAAGACCATGGCGAATAAATAATATAGATGTTCAGAGCAGCACAGGAACTGGTGTCTCTGCTCTCGATTCAGAGCCGTCAACACTTGCTGGTTTTCTTCACTCTAGCTAGCTAGTAGCCAATAGTGACTTCTCCAGTAGCACGCATGAAGTGCGCTGCGGTGTAGTCTTATGCTGGTCATGGTGTCTTCGTCATGCTAGTGCGTTCGCTGCTGGTTTTTTCACCGGTCACGAACATTCGTGACTGGCTTCTACCAACCAACCACATCCACCTCAACAACTCCAGGACCTGCAGAGCGAATCGAATCACTCTCTCCCTGGAGGCACCGCACAACTCATGACTATACTCCAGACGCCACTCTCAGCCCAACACATCCAGGACCCGATGCTGCATCGAGAACTCCAGGACTAGCTAGCGCAAGGAGCCACCAGTGGCACATCTGCAGCCCCATTCCCGGTCAAACAGGCTCAGTCGACCCGATGGTTCTTGCAGTGAAACTCTAGCTAGCTACGGGCAACGGAACGAAAGCAAGTGCTCACAGAGAAGTTCTTGCCTTCCTGTACCGTACCCTTATCTGGGGCGAGGTTTCAACAATATGTGTTTGCAGACAACCTTGGAAACGGGCTCTAATGAGAGTTGCGAGATTGAGAGGCCGGAGCGACAAGAATGGGCACCAAAGAAGGCAGCAGACCGTGCCGAAGAACAAGCAACGAATCAATTCACTCCGCGTTCGCAAGAGTCAAAGGCTTCATCAGGAAAGTGTGACAAAAGTTGAATTTGACAGTTGCGGTTCCTGGAACTGGTTCAGGTGTGGAGCCCGGACCTGTATACGGTATATGAAATGCTACTGATCAGTGCTACAGTACCATATCTACAGGCCACGAGCATTTCTTGTGACAAAACTTTCGATTGAGGTTCTCATTATACAATTCGTTACTACTTCTACTTATTCAAGTCTTGCGCTCGCTTGAGCCCTACATCGCTCCGATCATTCGATTCGTCCTCTGAATGTACTGTACATCCATCTTCAGGCACAGCACCAAAGACCTCGTTTAGGCACGCCTCACTTGCTTGGTCGTTGCCCTGCCGTTCCTTCGCTGCTCGTACAGTTCCCACTTTTGCTTATCTTCAATCTTCTTGGCGGCCTTTTCGGCCTTGAGCCGCTCCTTTTCGGCTTGGTAGAACGCCTCTCGTTCAGCGTATTCCTGTGCCTTCTTCTCCGCGTATGCATTTTGTAGGTCAATGCGATCCTGCATGTGACCAATCACCTTGGCGCATGCCTTCTTGTGCTCATCCATGCGCTTCTTGCTTTCGGCTTGCCTCTTTCGGATCGCCTCTTGTCGCTCTCGCTGCTCGGCACTCAGAAAATTGTGAGACTCCAAGAGCTCACGGCCCAACTTGACGGCCTTGTTGGAGGACAACTTTTCCTCCAGTGCCTTGCGGCGTTCCTCCCTACGAGCCAGCTTGGCATCCAAGGCTCTGCGGCGCTCGGCCAACCTAAGGGCAACTTGCTCTTCGACATCTGGTGTAGTCTCTTCTTCGGTTTCATCATCGTACAGAACGGGAGCGAGGATTCGCGCAGTGTCAGCTTCCGCTTCGCCAAGCTCCTCATGGACTACTTCTTCGATCACTGTCTCTTCGTCTTCGATCACTTCTTCCTCTTCAATGCTTTCTTCGTCTTCGATCAATTCTTCCTCTTCGGTGATGTACTCATATTCCTCTGCTTCGGTAGGTTTAGGAGGAATGGGCGCAGGGGCTGGTTTGTCGGTGGCAGCTTTGGTGCTGGCCTTCTTTTTGTAAGCCCAGGCAAACATGGAGGGAATATCAGATGGAACTTCGCAGGACATGATGATTGGTGCTTTGCTGTTGAAGGTGTATGTTTACTTTTGGTTTGGTTGCGTTTCGAGTCTCTCGGTTTTTGTTTTGTGAGACAGCGATGTGATTATCCGAGGGATTGCTGTGTGCTTTCGGATGCAAGGGAAACCGTCAAGGAAACGGCAAGACCTTGTCTTCTTGAAAGCAGGTCTGACTGGCTCCTGGAGGTCTTGAGGGGTCTTGGTAAGCAAGACCGCCCCTCGATCGTCAGCCAGTCACACTTTTCCAACTCACGCAACCGGGGAGCGTGCCCTGCAAACGATTTCCCATCGGATTCTCCTTGGGTAAACTAGCGTTTGAAACTCAACCCTAAATTAGGGCAGAGTTTGTTTGAACTCTGCCCTACTAGCTAGTAGTAGCAGGCTAGTGCACTAGCTACTAGCTAGGTAGAGTAGGGAGGTTATCTAAAACTAATCTAATAATAGGGTTAGCTATACCATCTGTCTGTCGTTGTAAGAATCCGGAAGTCGAAAATAGCCTTTGAGTCGTTGTTGAAAACATGCAAAATTATTTTTCCGTGAATGAATATCTATGGACGACTAGAAATTAATGCATTTGTCTATGTAACCATCGGACAGATCTGATACATTTCAGTCATACTACTAGCGCTCTTCACTTCTCCATTTGACTCAAATTAATTTGAGTTAAAAAGCTCCAGATTGCTAGTCAGCTTTTTAAAACTTTTTTCACAAAGAAGTTATTGCGCGTCCATGCTAAACAAAGAATTCACAAAGAGCCAAGTTTCTGGATGTCACTAACGAGCTCTAAATTATTTAGGAATTATGTTACAAAAAATGAAGTATTATTATTTAGATCGCACCTTGTTAAACTACCTGCTGAATGGAGCTATAACGAACCGGTGAACCTCAGATGTACCAGGACGCCCACTTAGGAACCGGCCTAGCTAGTGCAAGACTCCCACACCGGAGAACTTTAAAAACCCGGGAAGGTGCTTTGCAACTAACTAACTACCCAAGGCTAGATTGCCCTCTATTGCTACGGTGAAACCTCCATGGTACGTAGTTACTTTGTTTCATTATTCTGCATGTTGCGTGCTTGCTCGTCTGTCTCTTAGTATCTTGTCAACGACCACGCTTTGATATTGCCGGAGCCCTTTGCCATTGCTCCTCTAGGGGCTGCTTGAAAATGATATCAAGCAGCGACTCTGACAGCATATCTGCTTTCTCGTATATGCATGAGCTCCATCTCGAGACTCTTTGCAGTTGCTCGTGTTTCTTCTTCCATTATTCCTTCTTGCCTCTGTTGTGTCTGGAAGCATTGCGATCTTCTCATAGATTGCACCACTGTTAAATGAGCAATGACGCCAGATTGGTAACCCATAACTGCCCAGTTTTTGTAGTCTTCTGGGGACTGACCCGGTACAGGTATGCATTTTGGTGCTTGGCACATTGTTGCTTAGCCATCCGTCCTCACACAAAATTGTCCCACCCAATGAGATTTTGGGTACTATAGGCAAGATCCATGTACCTATTAGGGTAGTGCTAGGGCTTTAGGAAGCGGCTTTCGAAGTGGTACTGTAGGTCTTCGAGGACAATCTCAAGTAGGAGGAGAATCGTGTTGCAAGCATCAGTTTGAAGGGGCAAACGAGCTAGAGAAGAAAGCAGAAGAATGGACAGAGTGTATTTAAAATTGCGACATTGGACAAATTTTTTGCTTTTTGAGATAATCTGCACTTGCCTCTACAATCTAGAAGGCCGATGATGATATGGTTAATCGTGCGCCAAACATCTTTTCCTTTTCTGCAAGTAAGTTAGATGCAGCAAGTAAAATGATCATAAATACATTGATTCAGTATAGCCTAGCTGTGCAACTCATATTCCATCCAAATGCATACAGTACTTTATAGGGCAGCTTCAACCAGAGTGTTCCTGTTTCCTAGATTCACACGTACTTCATATGTATACAGTGAATGCCATATGCCTGCTTCTTAGATATGGAAATAAAGGTTGAGAGTCCATCGTAGAACTTTTCAAATCCGGAATACACCCATGGGTGACACAAATCAACTCCGCTTGACTGGATGTTTACCTACCTTCCTAGATCGCTTCCAATCAGCTTCCCCACAATCTAACGTGAACCACCTCCCCCGACTTGCTCCGCACTCAACAGCTCGTTTTACCGCCTGTTTACCGTCTTTTAGTAGTTTAACCGCCTTCAACCGCCTTCAACAGCTCGCTTTCAGCCGTGGTACAAAAGAGGTTGCAAGCAATCAAGGAAGGCACAAATCAACTGGAGTTGATTTGTGCCACCCCCCAGGGGGGAGGGGGACAAGAATTCACAAGATCTTCTTTGCATGAGTTCTTTATGGACATGAAACAATATATACTTCATCGAGCAACAAAAATGTTAGGCTGAGTCCTCAGTCAGAGTCGAGTGAGTCCAGTCAGTCACTCGAGCACATGATGTACGCATAAGGACAAAGGACACCAGTGGTGTAATAGATATACCGGGCGAGCTGAATCAACAGGTGAGCCGAAATAGGACAGTACTATTGCAAAATTTGGCCGATTCACTGAATTAATGATTTAAATAAGATACAATTTAATGGATAATTTAGGGAACAACTTACTTAAGGGGCAATGCTAGATATGATTCTGAACTGTCGCTGGATTAAGAGATGATTGGGACTTCAGAGACAATGTAGAGATATTTTGAAATCGTTACTTGTTTAAAACCGACATTCATCAGAGAACTAAGAGACGATTCACCACTGTCTCCAAGGTAGTAGGGAAGAGACCAGTATGCTGGTTGCTAGGTTAGAGAGGATACCAGGGACAGGAAAAGAGAGAGACCGCAAACAAAGTGTATTTATCAGGTCCAAGCATCAACCACAGTCGGCCCATTACAGAACTATTTATGTTCTATATCGGTATACATCGACTCTGTCTTAGCGCAGGGTCGAGGATCTCTTTCTCAAACAGTCCTTGCGAGCGCAGGGCGTGCGCGATGCGCGAAGTGCATACTGCACACCACACCACATTGTTTCATAGCCTACGGAGCGTGACACATAGGAGCGCGTAGCGAACAATGAGACCCTACAACAAGTACACCAACAGCCCCTCCAACAATGACCCACAGAACCACCAACAGCCCCTCCAACAATGCGCCCACAGAACCACCCACAGATCCACCAACACCAGCCACCAACAATCCCCACAGACCCACAAACAAATCCACCCACAGACCCACAAACAAATCCCCCACAGAGCCCCCCACAGAGCCCCCCACAGATCCACCAACGGAACCTCCACAAATCCCCTAAAGAAACTCCAACAAACCGCCAACAGGAAGTCCAACAAATCCACCCAAGCCGAACCACCAACAAATCCACCCACAGACCCACAAACAGACTCACCAACAACAGAAGCTCCAACAAATCCACCAACAAATCCACCAACAAATCCACCCACAGACCCACAAACAACTCACCAACAACAGAAGCTCCAGACAAATCCACAACAAATCCACCAACAAATCCACCCACAGACCCACAAACAGACTCACACCACAACAAACCAACAAATCCACCAACGAACCACCAACAAATCCACCCACAGACCCACAAACAGACTCACCAACACATCTGCCAACAGAAGCTCCAACTGAGCCGCCAACTGAGCCTCCCACCGAGATCCCAACTATGTTTTCGGTGACTCTTCCTCCGACAATGACCCTGCCTCCTCCTCCTCCGACAATGTCCCCCTCATAGTGAAGGGCAGCTATTTCTGGCCAGATATTCCTTCAGTTGCAGGCCTTTGACGCAGGATTCAAAAAAAGGTTTTCAGTATTCTTCAATTGTAGCCATCCAAAAATTGTTTTCGTTTACTTCAACAGCATCCAGCCCCTGTCTCTTAAAAGTAGCTCGTGTT